GTTCGAATTTTTATATTTCCTCCAACCACAGTATAAAAACCGCAAAATGTATGACTGACTCCTTACTGCCTATTCCTGATTAATTCCGATCAACATTACTGTTACTATTTACTATCATTCTTCACAAGCTCTTTCAGCATGAAGAGAGCAAATTATCGTTCTCTTAACTAAGTAGTAAGTAGTGGAGAGCGGGAGAGCACTTGTATTCCTTGTGATCATGGCATAGTTATTAGGCCACTAGGGCAAAAGAGCTCAATCACCACCAGCGCCGTGGTGGAATATAGAGGATACGAATCACCCAATGCAATCCCCCCAACAATATTATAGTCTTAGATGAGAGCAATCACATTCATAATAATGATAATAATAATAATAATAATAATAATAATAATAATAATGTTCCTGATATATATCGATATATATATACCATATACAAAGATATCACCATATTCCTGGATGAGCCCGGCCAGCCCTTTCATCCTCCTTTTCCTTTCCCCCCTCACAACCCGTGCGCATGCAATGAGAAAAGAAAACGAAAGAAAAGAAATAGGGTAAAATTAGGAAATACAACAACAATAGTGGTACTTTGAAAGAGCGGGCGCGCTCATCACTAAGGCCACCGAAAAGAAAAAAATGGTATAATACCTTGAGGATATATAGTATAGACACAGACATAGACACAAGAGACACATAGACACATACATGCGCCGTAGGATATAAGTATTTACAATTTAAGGAGAATGCTGTCAAAATAGTAAAAGGCGGGAAGCAGCAATAGGCAGCTGTCAAGTACCAAAAGCCAAAAGAAAAACAAGGGGGAATAAAAACCAAAATAACCATTGATGGCATGCAAAGCAATAAAAAAAAAGAAAAAGGCAGAAGAAAAAAGAGAGAAAGAAAAAGATAAGAACAGAAAACAAAAATGGGGTCGTAACGTTCATTCATTAAAGGTTGCCCGAATGTCATAACCTATGTATAAGTAAATCCAAATCCAAATCCTCCGCCCCTATTCACGCGTTCGTCCCTTCTTTCCTAGCCCACCCCATCACCACCACCACCAACATCACCAACATCCCCCACCACCCCAATACCCAAGCACCCCCATCCCATCCGTTTCCATCCCTCTCTTCCAAGTCACATACACATGCAGTTGTGGGACTGAGTGCATCGTCACCAAGGGCACGGCAGCCATCAGCAGCCCAGCAACCCGTTTCCCCGATAAAAAAAAAAAAAAAAATAAGAAAAAAGAAAAAAAAAAAAAGAAAAATGGAAAAATAGAAGAAAATAAGAAAATAAAATCTACTGCGGCTCCTGCCGCAGCAGCTCCAGAATCATCTCCTGCGTCCTCTGCACCGTATTCAGCTTCTCCTCCAGCTGCGCGCGATCCTTCTGAATCTCCTGTCGAAGCTCTGCGCGCAGCTCGGATTTTAGCTGGTGCAGCGTGGACGCTGGAATCTGCGTTTGAACGGGCGGCGGTGCTGCGGCGGGGGCCCCGGTTGTCGCTGCTGTCGCTGCTGTTCGACTATGGCTAGCGTGGGGCTGGTTGGCCATTGTGGGGTTTTGAGAAGAGTTTTGCTGTTGGTGCTGGTGCTGGTGCTGGTGTTGGAGGGGATGGGCGCCACCGGCGGCAGCGGCAGCAGCAGCAGCTAGAGACATGGCGTTGGACTGGTGGGAGCGGGACGATACGGCTTCGAGGTTCTTGTTGAGTTTTGATAGCGTTTCTAGAATCGCGGCGCCGACGTCGGGTTCTGCTGCGGCGACTGCGCCTGAGGAGGACGAGGAGGAGGTCGCAGCGGCCATGATTGCTCCAGTGTTGGGCATGGTTGTCTGCTGCGGGGTTGGTTGAACGGGTATCGACCCGGCAAGATTTTTCTGCTGCTGCTTTTGCTGCTTCTGCTGCTTCTGATGTTGTTTCTGCTGCCTTTGAGGCGGAGGGGCCTGCATGGGCTCCACTGTGGTGGAAGGCGCAGTGGTGGCAGGCAGGGCAGCAGGCGCGTCCATTCGAGAGGGCTTGGACGGCTTTGATGACGGTGGAAACATCGTCTCGAACCCAGGAGGCAACATGTGCTGGTATCCCAGCCCGACCCCTTCAGTGTCAACTACTGACTTCCTCTTGCGGCCCCTTTTGCCCTGCTTGGCATTGATGCGCTCATTCTCCTGTTCCTGAAACCGCTTCCAGGACGGAATCCAGGAGTCGACGGCGGCGCTCCATGCTGCATCCGCCTGATCGTCCCTCCTCTTCCCGTCCAGGCCCGCAAGGAATTTAATACGCTGTTGCGTCACGAGCTCCACTTTCCGTCGTACGCTATGCCACGAGTACGGATGTCCCTCTGACGCGGTAAATTCCTGCGTCACATTCACCCACCATTCGCAGAGACGATTGCGCTCGCCAAAAGAAGCCGCGTGCCTGTTGCATATCTCAAACAGCGCCGTCTCCTCACGCGTCGTCAGCCGCTTGCCGTGCTTGCGGGGTGTCTCGTTTTCCAACAGGGCTAGATCCACGCCTCGTCCCGGCCCTACACGACCTGCTTGCTGCCGTGATATGGATCCTCCTTCTACACCGTCCGCATCGTCAGAGCTGGGCTCGGGGCCGGGCGCAGGATGGTCATACGCGGCTTCAGGGGAAAGGTCGACTGCGCTCTCAGCAACGGCGTTCTCGCGAACGCTGGGGCTCTCTGATAACGAGGGGTCAGTGGACGCGGGGGTCTGTAGGATGGCTGAGTCATGTTGGGCGTTCGATGCGAAGCTATTAGTGGGGCGGAGGGCAGAGATGGGCGGGAGAGTATTGGGCAGCGGCCTAGAGAGCGGAGGGGCCGCGGGGAGCCATTGCAAAGGGCTGTGGTGACTCTGCTGCTGGTGCTGCTGCTGATGTTGTTGATGTTGCTGATGCTGGTGTTGCTGTTGGTGCTGCTGCTGGTGTTGCTGCTGGTGCTGATGCTGGCGCTGTTGATGCTGCTGATGCTGATGCTGATGTGGGTGTTGATGTTGGTGTCTGGTAGATACAGGAGTTCCTTGAGGCGGCGGTTCGACGCTGGTGTGCCAGTTGAACATTTGTCCGGAAATCGCACCACCTTCTTTCGTGATCTATTGTTCGCCTCCCCCGTGTTTCTTTGTCATATGGGGTCCTTCTTCGCGGCGCCTGAAGCATTTGCAAACCGACCAGGGAGGGATTGGGATGGTCTCCTGGTTCCCCTCTTCTGCTTCAGCTCCTCCTTTCGCGCTCTCTGGCCCGCGACCACGCTTACGGTCGATCTGTGCCCTTTGTTGTGGCAAGAAAGGTATGCTCTTTTTGTCCTCTATGAGACATCTATCGCGCAGGTCCAGGCATCGAGATGTCGTCGTCGGCTTTCCCCGTTCTGACTAATTTTTGCTTTTACGATTCCTATTTCTTTTGATTTATTTCTAAATAAAAATTTTTTTCTGTTTCTGCTTTTCGGCCCCCTTGTTGGCAGTTGCTTAGTCTCGTTCCTCCTGTTCGTTGGGTTTTTTTTTTTTTTTTTTTTTTTTTTTTTTTTTTTTTTTTTTTGTTTTTATTTTATTTTTATTTTATTTTATTTTTTTTTTTGCAAACGACAATGAGTTTAAAATCAAGGTACTTGGATGACAAGGGGATGGGAAAATTCAATGAGCAACTGGTCAAAGCAGCTGCCGTCGGGAACCTTAAAAACCGCAAGATCTCAAAATTGTGCGTTTTCAAAAAACACATGGAAAGCGAGAAAAGGGAAACGAAAAAAGAAAAGGGAAAAAAGAAAAATGGGAGAGAACGAGGACAAGGGAAAAGGACAAAAGGGCAAAAGGGCAAAAGGGAAATCAGCGGGGAACAAAAAAAAGCCACCAACGAGGACGCCATGTCTGAAAACAAGCCCCCGAATGGCAGGCCAGCGGTGGGGCAGACAGGCCTCGGGCGGGTTGCAAATTATGCTGAGCTGAGGGCGTATTACATATATTACATTACTCACCGTACGGGGCAGGGTCGGATTGCGTGCCGCAGGGCAGAGGTGTGGTAATCCACTTCCGGGTACGGATACGGGACCTTTCTGCGGTCAACGAGTCAACGACCTATGGTACCTGTTGATTCGGCCTTATTCCCCTCGAGAAATGACATCAACTAGAAATAACTACTTAATAAGTTAACTATAATATACTCGAAAATGTTGCAGTTTCACCCTCTGCCCATGAGAGCATTTTTGATGCTTACAGTTGTGAGTATAAGATATCATGTTCCAGAGAAAACCTGCATTCTTTATTGGCTCTGATAGCTGTCTAGGAAAATAACGAATTGCTTCTGTTCTCTGAGAGCCCCAGCAACGAACATACAGTAGTTTTATATACAATAACAACTACTACTTACTACTGCTACTGCTACTGCTACTGCGACTATGGCCTAGATATTCTCTCGATCTCGTCTCTGGTCATTCTTCTCTCGATATCTTTGTTCTCGGTTAGCGCGGCGCTAATCCCGCTATATCCACTTTCCATTGGCCAATGCTCCACGCTAGTCCCGTTACGATCGTTCACCTCGCCGCTTTTATGCGCGCTGGACGCTGGACACTGCTCAATCTATACAACCTGGACATCAACTCCCTCAAACGACCCACGCACCACTTGCTCCTCCTCTTTCTCCCTCATTCTTCATCCCTTGCACCCAGGTGCGCTGGCCCCTTCCACCTGCATGGCATGGGATGGCTGCTGCGATATGCGTCCTACGCCGGCGGGGTTGTTGAAGTGGCTGTCGGAGAATCTGGCAGACACCGTTGCTTCCATCGGTGTCTGGGCCATCCATGCTCTGCTGCTGCCCCTCGATTTCCCTCGATTTCCCTCGATTTCCCTCGATTTCCTAGACTTCTTTAGGGCCAGTCCGTTGCTCGCAGCGTGAGCCTCAATGAAAGGTTTTTCCTCTTTGCCATACTGTATCGCCTGGGCCAGGGTGCCCGGCATTCCCTCCCGTTCAGCATAACCATGTTCCCATCAGGCCTGATTTCAACAATCTTATTTTTGTTCCTTGGAAGTTGTGATAATTAAACATGATTGGCAGGGGCCGGGCATCAGTCCCCAGAACTCCTCCGATCAATTTTCCATTATGGAGTATACATTAAGAGACTAGCACTCTCTTTGTGCCTTGGGCTTATAATATTTGAGTCATTTTGACTTTACGACAACCGGCGCTGGTTCGATTCTCCCTGCAAACACGGCAAGGCACATTGATAAGGACCCTGGCCAATTCTTGAAATCAGTTTACAATCAGCAGGTAGAGGAACAATTTCATCGTTCTTCAGGCGGCTATCATCCAGGGTTAGACAGCCGACGCTCTGTTTTACACCATCTCATACTGCGCTTATCTGTCGTCAAACCATCTCCTCACCAATCAGAAGTTGGACACGATTGTCGAATGGATTGCTGCTAATGCAGGACGCCTACCCCTATTCGATCTCTTAAAATTTCCTTCTGCCATTTTGGCGATATTCATGCTTCAGCTTCTAAGTTGTGCGGTATCACTCGGGCATACGAACCTGGTAAGCTCCCTGATCCAAGTATGTATGGCTTTCGATGATCCTGGACGCATACTCTAAAGTCACGGGTTACTTTTGATCGCAATTTCTGATAACCAGCTTGAGCTCGCTAGTCATATTTTGGATACTGGATTGACTTTTGGAGGAATTTCCTTTTTATCTTGATGTCATCGCCAAAAAAAGGTCTCGATGAGATGTTAAAGCTTCTCTTGCCGAGAGGCATGCTGCTTGATAATATCTGATCCTGGCGCTGGTATTCGTTGTTGGAAGGGGGCCGTGGAGGAAGGCAAGACAGCACTCGTAAAATTGCTAGTGGGCAACTAACCTAATGACATTGACATTCCTGACTAGAATTGTTTAATATCCTAGCTTCAGGATCTTACAAGGATCCTACAATTTACAATTTATCAATCAGAAACAAGGCAAGTGTCACGTCAGAGCCGGGAAAGGGTTGCAAAACAGTCCTTCAGCGCGCTACAGCTGCTGGAAATATCAGACTGTTCAAGCATATTGTCCAGCACCGACACGCAGATGTCAATGA